ATAATTTTTTCATACTCTTACTGTTTTTATACTGTCTTTATACTGTTTTTTTCTCTATCCACTTTGCTGCTGTAATATTGGAATTTCCCCATCGTGGGACTATTAAAGGAATATCTCATGTTTAAAAATATAATTATATTATTATTCATCTTTATCGAGGCAGACTGCATCATTTAAGTTGACATAGATTTTAGGTCATAACGTCCGGCCCTAATTTCAGACACACAGTGACACAGTGTCTGCATCTGCTGTATTTGTTTGGTGTGTGTGGTCTGCTGCAAACGGGCAACAGATGAACGGACGACAGACGGACAGGAAGGGAGGAAGAGGCTGGAGGAAGAAAGAGGAGGAAGGAGGCAGGAGGACAGAATCCTTATCCACTTGATTATAGTGTTTATGGCATCTGGACAGTTGTTTGGCTAAGGCGTGCATGCGTGTGTGTGTGTGTGTGTGTGTGTTTGTGTGTTTGTGTGTGTTGCCCCAGGGACCCACCTGGAGTGCAGCTATTCCACGTTTCAACTCAACCAGCCACTGGCACATTTCACCAGCCTCTGTTTCCCATGACTCCTATTCTTCTCCCCTCGGGGCAAGTCACAAAGTCTCTTTAACAGCGCAGGAGCTGAGTGTATAAACAGGATTAGAAAGTGCACTCAAGTCTTTTTTCTCTGCCTGATAGAAGAAAGCACAGTTGTTGACCGATCCACTGTAATGCTCACTAAGATAAGAAAAAATATTCTGGCAAATACACTCATTCGCTTTCTTGTCGAGCCTTAGATGACATCGACCCCACTCATATTGGTCTACTGAATAAGAAGCTACATCCAGGAGACAGTTAGCTTAGCATAAAGACTGGCTAGCCTGGCTCACAAAAAACATCATGTAATCTGAAATTATATATTTTTTTACACTTCTGTACAGTTAATCTGTGAATGTTTGAAGTGCTGCTAGTTTTTTTTTTTTTTTACTTTTTGGAAAGAGCCCTGTTAGCTGTTTTTAGTCGTAATGCTAAGCTAAGTTATCACCTCCTGTCTGTGCAAGAAAGCAAACTACAGCTCATTCCCGAAATGTCCATTTAAAAATGTCAAGATGACTGATTTCTTCCATTTATATGATTTTGTGATGACCATATTGGACAGCTTGATAGATATAGCAATAAAAGCCCTGGTTTCAATCTTCTGAAAGCACAATATGTCACACATTACACTCTGCTGAAAACACTTTTAAAGGTGATTGGTGGACTGCATTGCAATATTGTATCCTAAATTATCTAATGGACAAACATCAGTGAATAAACAAAAGTTTAACAATTTAGAGACCCTATAATAATAATAGCATTCCTTCATGTATTTCCACTTCAGAAATGGTTCATTTTAAAATGTTTAGTATTGACTCATATTTTCCAAATCCAACATTTGGGTCAAATAATTTCACTTAATCGTCTCAGGAATCAATTTTAAGAATCGGCATGGCTTTTAGTAAATATAACTTTCAGCTGAAGAGGAAATCTGTGTCATTGTGCCTTTAACATCAGAGCTCGCCGCGCAGCAGGGCACGGTCAGGCACCTGCTGCGAGCGCACTGAGACATTTGCAGACGGACTTTTTTCCAAGTCAAACACACAAAAAACGAGTTTCACAAATGACCATGTGGCTCCTTTAAAGCCGCTAATTCCGGATATGTGCCCACGACAAGTCCCGTCGTGACCGCGGAGGCGCACATAAAGGGCCCCGGGGGCTGAAGCCGATTGAAACCTGTCAGGTTGTAGCGGAGGCTAATTTTGCGCAGCGGCACTGGTCGCGTATTATCTCTCTCTCTCTCTCTTCTCCTCTCTCCTCTCTCTCTCTCTCTCTCTGAGATGAACCCGGGCGAAGGAAAGGGTTGGGACAGGGAGGAATAGCTGGAGGGAGGGATGGCTGAATAACGAGGAGAGAAACACCCACTCCGGACTGACCGAATTGAATCCGGAGAGACGGAGTGAGAGAAAGAAAAGAGGAGAAGAGAAAGAGTAAGCAGAAAGAGGAACACATTGGGAGGCAGCAGTCTTTGGTATTCAGAGGAATTGTGTTCCTTTGAGGATAAAAGGACGCTTTGAATTGATGACTGGAAAGGTATGAAAGGCGATTTCATTCATTGTGCGTGTGTGCGTGTGTGTGTGTGAGAGAGTGAGTCGCTCTCAGGTGTGCGGCGCTGGAGCGTTTGAACGCAGCGAATTCATTTGAATAAATCTGATAGTTTGACCCAAATCTGGCTGAGAAACTTCATTTAAATCAATCAGCAGCACTTTGAAATGATCACAGAAGACAAATCTGGACTGTACAGTCGGTGAATCAAACTTGTGCGGTCTCACAGGCAGGTGGAGAAATTGTTTGAAAACAAAAAAATATTGATTTTACTTGGTTTAAGTCAGTTTTCCCGGAATAAAATAAATACAGATTTTCTCATTAGCCTTTACAAATGTTTACTCTTTCAAAACACAAGCTTGCAAGGGTCGTCTACGGTCTTGCACTGTAATGAGCTGAGTATGTGTGCAAACAGTATTACACACACTGCCTTAAAAAAAGCATGCACATTAGGCACATAGACTGCTGAATTTTAATGAGGGCGCGACTTTAACCTGGCTTTCATTAACCAATTAACCAGTTACAGAATTGCCCTTTGGACTGGAAAGAGGAATATGTGCAAACTAAAGACAAGAATAACTTTTTTTTTGCTGTAATGTGCATTCATGTTTCATTATTAGGACCACATGAGTAAAGAGAGATACATTTTTAATTGAACCTCGCTCTAATCTGAATTTAGTGTAATTAACTCTTGTGTGTGTGTACTTGCATTAATTATTTGTGTGTGTCTGACAGAGACTAACAGAATAATTTCCTTTCCTTCTCATTTCCCTCTTTGTGTCCTGAGGCTGATCTTTAAAAAAAAAAAAAAAAAGATCATTCCTATTTCCTAGAGTATTTCATGCTTATTAATATGCATTGTCATTATTCTGGCCTTTTGACACTGCCTGAATTGAAGGAGCTGGCTGTTCTTACCTCCACATCAGAGAATGACTCAGTCGTGAAACAACTTTTGTTGCACGTGCTGTTTTATTCATACGACTGTCAGCGGGTGTGTGTCTCCCCAGGACTGAAGCGATAAGATGCCTGTCTGTGTCCATCCTTAGTGGGTAATAATGAGTGGCAGGCTGGAGAGGAGGAGGGAGAGGAAGAGGAGCGGGGGAGAAATGTGGAAGAGACGGTGCAGAGAACAAAATGTTAAGGGTGAAAGCAGGAGATGAGATAGGGAAGAGAGGAGAGGAGCTGTTGTGTTTGCTCTTGTGGTCGGACAATGATGCTCATGAAATGTCCCTTCATAGGACTGCCAGTCAAACTGCTTCCCTCCTGTCTGTTTATCACTCTGTCCTCTATCCCTCTTTCTCTCAGCTCTTTTGTTCATTTCTTCTCCTCTCCTCTCTTCCCTCAAACAAAGTCCTGCACTGTTTTGCCCTCGGCCTGTTCTATGTAGGCGTGAGGCTCGACCGCTGCTCTGTGGTCAGTCTAGACTGCCAGACTACTGCTCTGTAATTGTATCAAAGTGGATATTAGACAGGAGTAACTGATTCCAGATCAGCGTCTGGGGCCTGTGTGGGCAAGGTGGGTCTTGACCCACAGAGCCTCTGTGCAGCTGAAAGGCATTCATGGTGTTGAAATCCCCCTTCTCTGTGTCTCTAACAACCCTTTTCTCTTGCTTTTTCCCCACTTTGCTTTGCCTTTTCTCAACAGAATCTTCATTCTCTCTGTGCAGGTCTAGACTGCTGGTTGTGAGGATGTTGTCAACGGGACAGATTAAGTGGTGTTTGTGGGCTCCACTGGTGTTACTGGCCCTAGTTTCCCATTTCCCCACTAAGGCACAGAGTCAAGGTAAGAACTTTTTTCTCTTCTCCAATCATCTCTCTCTCTCTTTTCTTTCTGCTCTTCACCCTCCCATCCCACTCCCCCCCCGATCCAACTTCTCTTTGAGTCCTTCCACCACTTCCCACCTTGGCCATCGAACCTCTTCCCATCTGTTCCCTTCATCACCCATCTCTCCTTCCTTCCCTCAAGCCTTTCCCTCACCTCTCTGCCCTCCTCTACCTCCATATCCTCCTCCATTCCCTCACCTGACCTTTCTGTGTCTCCTCCTCCCCCGTTTCCACATCAATCCTCCCTCTGCTTGATGTGCAGGCTCAGTCCAATCAGATTACATCACGCTCATGATCATATCACCTCCATATCATCATGCCATTTCTCCCTGGCAGCATGGCAACACTTGCAACCCCGCTGTCGATGCTGCCACGCTTCAGAGGGGTTTTAATAAATGTGTGTTGTAACGGCACGCTTCAAGCTGTGATGATTTGCTGCGCAATGTGCCACACAATATACAACGCTCCAGTGTGCTTCACAATCAACCTCACCTCAGCAAACCTGATTTAATCAAACTGAGCCTCATCAAAAAAAGGGGGCTGTTGTCTGTTTTATGCAGTGTTTTTGGTCATGGATGTTAAAAATCTGGATACACTCTTATCAAGAAACACACATTTTAGTTTCAGATGAACACACTATATGTTAATATGCTGTTATGTGGTATTATTAGCATGGCGTGAGTTAAAGTATAACACGTGTGTTTTCCTGAATGAAACTCAGTTATTCTGACACACTTTCCAAGATCTATTAAAGGGACATTTCACCCGTGGAAACATTAATATTTATTGAAAGTGGGTTATATATGTAGTCGAAATGTAACATAAATTTTGAATTTGGTGCTATTTGACCGAGCAAAGACAGAAATGTGACTTTAGGGCGCATTTGTATTAAAGACAACAACTCCCACAATGCACAGCTCCGCAAGCCGCCCCCACTAACACTATCAAGGACTACAACAACGTGAATGTATAACCCATTTATTTTAGAAATATATCAACAACAAAATAAATATGTTAACAATGACAGTTATAGTTCTCCCTGAGCGTCCTCAGCTTCTTGGTGCCCGCAGTACTGGCCATTCTGGAGCTGGATATTTTCTGTCGGGATAGCCTGCCACCAACACAAGCGGGTAAAACGACACGGATGCCCTCGACCCAATCTCTCGCCTTGCAGGACCCATTCCAGAAAGGCCTGTTAAGGCGATATTGTCTACAAGACATTGAGCACACAGTTAGCGATGCATGGTCTTTGTGTTTAGCGTGCCACAGTAGTTAGCAATGCAACTGCAAGCTGTTTTGGCAGTAAAGAAGCTAGTTCAGTTGGGTGAGCGCTTACGTATTAACCAGAATAACTTCGTGATAATGCTGAACAAATTGTGTTACATACATGCCACATTGTTATAAGGAAAGAAATAGAAACACTCACTTTACAGTCAGACGTCCGTGTGTCCCGTAGACGCACAGTGAGAGCACAGGCACCAACCAGTCCGCCCCAGCTCGAGCCAGTCCGGGCTCCTCGTCCGCGACAGGCAGGGTCCTCTGCCTCCGCGGCAGAAGCCTCAGCTTAGCTGCTCTTCGCTATATTGCGGCTCATAAAGGTAGCCACAAACATTTGATTCGACCATCACACTTTCAAAATTTCTTCCATATTAGATTGATTACCATAGTCGTAACGTCTGGATTGACAGCGCGCTCCACTTAGCTTCCAAACAAGATGGCGGTTATATTTTTTCGTTGCTGCAAGTGAAGTCCCACCCCTGATCTGTAATTAGTCTGTAGCGTGAGTGAAAAAAAAAAATGAGGAAGTAGTGTTTGTAGTCTCACGCCCTCTACAGATACATGAGACTTCCTGCTTCCAATGACGCAAAATGACGATTTTTACCATCATTGGAAGCAGGAAGTGCAACACTGAAATCCGTATTTGCTCCCCTCTCCGGGGAAGTGACGGAATGATGCACGACCATTCAAAAATAGACTGTCTAATGATACAAAGCTTAATGCAAATGGGTGAAGTGTCCCTTTAATACAGTAACCAACCCAGTAACCTATCCTTTCTTATCATGTGATCAGGTGATTTAGTCATAGCTGTTGGATGTTATTGTCTCAACTACAACTGTAGGATGAGGGAAATGAGCTTATTCCAACAAATGGATCCAAGAAGTCTTTCCTGACTCTTACGACTGCAGTGTATGTGTGTGTAACTATGTCTGTGAGTGTGTGTTGTTCATGAGTTTATGGGAATTGGCAGCCTATGATGTGGAGAGGGTCAGATCTACTATAGTTATCTGGATGGAGATCATATGAAATTGACCCCAAGGGACACTTAAACATTTAGCTGACCCTGCTTTGTGTGTGTGTGTGTGTGTGTGTGTGTGTGTGTGGCTCACATTCCTTCCAGGATGTGGAGTTAGAGGAGCAGGGAAGCAGCAGGTCTTGTTTACAGAAACACTACACGCAGAAATCAAATAAAGATTTATTTTTCTCTCTCTCTGAAATTGTTGTTCAAAATCAATAATCCACATATGACACACACCTTTTATTGATCTGTTTCTACAGCTAAATTAAAAAAACCAAAAAGAAATTCCACCCTAAAAATCATTTATGTTATTACAGTGGTCTCTTTGTGGTTAGTTTTTGTTTGTGGGTCTATTTTTGCTTAGTAACCTGAATGGATCAGTGTACACTGTACAGTGCTTTGTGTTTATGTACCATTGGAAGTCCTTACTTAACAGTGATTGCTTTGAAATTGAAATGAAAGAAGCAGTTTTCTATTTTATTCTGTCTTTGTACTACCCTCATTGTCACTCTTTCCTTTTCTCCATCCTTCTTGCTCTGTTTCTCTTCACTTATTTTTCTCATCTGTTTGCCCCCCTTCTCTTTTTATTCAAATTTTCATCAGCACTTCTGTAGGTCATGATTTTCATTGCAGTCAGACAGAAACGAGAGGTGACACAGAAGTGTGACAGCATAAATTAGACTGGGATTTGATCCCACTGAATCACAGCAGAACATGGATGACCTCCCAGACACTATGGGAGCGTGACCCGCTCAATCCCTTCATTAGGGAGCATGTGATAGCCATTAATTTTTGCCCTATCTGTCCCCTAAGCTGCAACATCTGGTCAGAGGGGATTTGAGCTTGAGGATTAGTGTGTTTTCTACCCATGGAGAATGTTTGTATATACAGCACAAATGTCTGGATATCATCAGGAACTCCCACTACCAAAGAGTGTCTCAGTTCAGTAAGGGGTTTTCTCTGCCAGCAAATGATCTAGCATTCACATCTAACTAGTCTTATTTTATATATATATAGATATATATATATCACTTAATTGGTGCATCCTTTTCAATTTTACTGTTGCATGTGCCCTTTGTTATTGAGCAATTGTGAAACATTTAGTTTGACATAAGTTACACTGTAAAATTGGAACATCAAACTTACTTGGTGCTGAAGTGGAAATAATGTAAACTAAACCTGATAGTTTGTAACAGTGTCTCCAACAAAATGTACAACCAATTTACTTTGCAAAATACATTAAAAGAAAAAGTAATTACTTGCATATTATTCATTTACTGTAGGAAAAGTGTCTCCCTTAAGTTAAAGGCTTCAAGTCAGCGATTACTGTTTGACTTTTTACAACAATCTTCTGAACATCAACCAAGTGCTTTGTGTATCCTTAGACAAAACCATTAATATGTCAATCTTGCATTAGGAGCAGTGAATATTTTGCAGAAATGAACATTTACACATCCATACTACACACTAGCAGCTTTGTGAGACTGTACGCAGGCACAGTGGTGTTGAGCTAGATGCTAACGTCACCATGCTAACATGGTTACACTGACAATGCTTACAAGGTTCCCCATCGTAGTTCAGAAGCCGAGGCTGAGGAGTTTGTCACTAGATGACGCTAAAAGAAAAGTCGGCTACTACCTACTACCTTGAATATCTGTTGCAGATTTCCTTGTAATCCATAAAATAGTTATCAAGATATTTAACTCAAAACCAAATTTACTGTATTTCCTACAATTGTCTTTGTTAATGCAAATTTGTTGTGCTGTATATAAACAGATGTTTTTAGAAAACATAATTTGGACACAATATGCAGTCAGTACTACATATAAGGCTTGAGCTACTAGATATTGGCTCCTATGTCTGACCTGTGGGAACGGTTCTGATACTGTTCTTACTGCAGAAATTGAGCAGTGAGCAAAACAGTGGATTGTTGTTTTTTTGGTTCTCTGGCTCTTACTTTGGCCTTGAAAAGTATTGAAAAGGGAAATGTAAATTTTGTTCTCTGCTCAGTCCTTTAGAGGGTGCAAGGAGTGACCTGGCACTTTGTGTTGCTGTTTCCAATGCAGCATTGACAAAAACAGGATAGATGAAGGAAAGATGCCTGATGGTGGGAGTTTGCCACTGTTACATCTGAACCCAAAAAAGTAAAGCTGTCATGCTTTATTGTTAATTAAGCAATTATTTTCAGTCCTGTTCCCTAGATAAGTCAGTTAGTCATTGTAAAGATGCTAAATGTGTGTGGGTTGTCCTCTGTTTGTGTGTGTGTCTAATGTGTGTATAGTTAATTATTGTAATTGATTTTGTTGATTGCCAGCCCAGGTCAATACCCTGTTTCAGGACACATCACAACAGATTATGTGCTCGAGAACACATTTACAAAGATATTGCACTTTTGTGTTGGTGTGTGTGTCTAGATACGTGTGTGTTTGTGTGGAGAGTGTGTGTGGTTAGAGGGCAGCTTGGTGAATTAGTATGAGTGAAAGTGTTGGCCAATAATTTCAGTTATAATGAACAGGGAGAGAAGCCAATGATGAGAAATCATTTATTCATAAACAAAAGAGAGGATGAGATGGAACAACCTGTTTTGAATTTAAAAACTGCTAAATTATCCACACCCAGACTACCGTCACCTCGCCACTCTGCTGCTGTTGATGGTAATCCAG